ATTAGTCTTTTTTAAATAATTGTGGTCTGGAATCGTTTAGTCAAAGTTCTACAATTGCGAAGGCGATGCTCGTACACTCTAAGCACGTTGGAAAGAACTGTGTGCTGCCAGTTTTCATATTCGTCACTCCTTTTTTATTACTCGATGTTCATAAGCTGTACATCTGTCGTTTTTCTTGGTTAGAGATATGGAAAAAAGGAATGGAAAGTGAAATATCAGCGAGATCATCAACATGGCAGTACTTCAAAAATCTCTCGTTCCTCGATCCACATATAATCGAAAGAACCGCAATCTAATCTCCGGCAAGAAAAGAACATCGCGGCGAGGTATGTGGCTAATGCTCGTTTTCTCGCCAAACTCGAAGTAGTATTTATGTTCAAGTAAGCAGGTGAATTTAGGAAGTAACTACGGCCGACCCATGTTTCTAAGCGAAACTCAAGAAGAAGCCGTGCGCATCATTGATTCTTCGACATGCGCGGTACGAAATATCGGCACTCAGAATATCGACATCAAGACGTGGAACAGTGTCATTGCACATTTGAACTACCCACGTATTGCATAATGTTCATGTAATCGGCAACATTTCTCATTTAGACAACTTTCTAGCAAATATATGATGTTGTAACTATATATCCAATTATGTTGAGTAGTTTCTTGCCTTTATTTTGTTTAGCAAACACGGGTTATGCACGTTCATTTTGTACAAAAAGTACAACAGAATTCGTATCATGTCAATGTTCCGGTAGTTCTGCCTTCATCAGAGCCGTATGTTGTTGTTTACTAGTCCACAGGTCAATATGTAGAGCAGTCGTACCGAGTATTAGATGAGCGAGAAATCTTTACTGCTGAACAAGAAAAAGTCGTTTATTTATACAATCAATGCCGAGGTTAATGATAATCTGTCTTGGAAATGTTGAGTAATACACAATACCTGAACACCGGGCGGAAGCTCAACCGACGTAGCACTGAGCGCGTGTGTTAACCACTGCACTACTGTGGCTCCTTTTCCGCCGTCACACTTCTTGTGATGCGCCAAAGAAAGAGAGGTTGAGAGTCTGGCGTGTCATTGTGCATTGGTGAATAACAGTAGGAATTCATGTTGTAGTCATATATCCAAGCATACTGAGTAATATGCAAGACTTTCGACCCAGTTAGAAGTCAAACCAGCCACATCCTATCCCGTACCGCGGACGATTTCTTCAGCATTCTCTTCTTGATGTAACTGAGGACTGACGATTCAACTACTTTATTGCATTACTATGACTTTGTCCCTGAAATACATGTTTTCGACACTCCATCGAAGAAGGAGAGACGACAAAATGATTCCCGACAGTGCAGTGGTTAGCACACGCCGCCACAAAGGGCGAGGACGCGGGTTCCGCTTCCGCTCGAGATTTAGAGTTTTGCATATCATTCAGCATTCTTGGATATGAAGTTTTATTATCATGCTACTGTCATAAAGTGGTAAAGAGATAGATTCTCTCGTCATCTCGAGTTTAGGTAATGTTTAGTTGATTTATGAACAATGGAAAAGGATTAGCGATTGTTATGTTCGTGAGAAAGATGCCACGTCTGGTAAGAGACAATTTGATTTATCATAGATCCTTGTTGTTGTCGCAAGGCACAGCTCTTTCTTTAGAGTATTAGTAATCAGTCGATAGCGTTAGATGATTCCAACGGTGTCCTCATTTGTGAAAAGACCATTTGTTTGCGAAACATCAGGAAAATAAGATTGCTTCACATGCGCGAGCATGTGTCTTTTGGCTAATCCAGGGGTGTGGGCACAGGCCGGATGCGGCCATTTCAACATTTCACCGATCAACTGGCGCCGGCTAAATCACATGAAAGTGCAGTTTTTGTTATTCAGCTAGGAACTGTTTGTTGCTCCGGAAGAAACTCTAAACGGAACGTCTGACTCTGATTTCAGAAGATTCTTTCTACACGTTCATGTGCTTTCCGTGCTTCCAGCGGAGAAATAGATGAATTGCTCCGCCGATGTAAAGCATAATTTTATTTGAATTTAACAGCATTACAAAAGGTACTTTTGAAAAACCGGCTACGTACCGCGCTAACTAAAGAGTGAAGCTTTTGAATGAATGCTAACACTTTTATGAAAACTTCTAAACCAGCTGAGGGGATCGGTTTTTTTTTGTCGCCGTCTAACATATAAGTATGGTGTTGCTTTGCATTATGACTGAAACAAATCTTTTTTGAATGAGTGTATTTGTGATAATTTTAAATGAACTATGAAAAGTAGGTCGTGTTCAGTAATTCAACATAGAAAGCCTCCAATATTCTATCTTTGACAATATTTGTGACTTCTCAAACGTGCTTAGAAGGGTGCTTGTCGCGAAGTGGTTAGAGGTGCCTTGCGACAGAGATGAGTGTAATGGCCTAGTCATGCCCCTAAGGCTCACCAAGCTTGCCATCACTCCGGGGAGACGAAGTATACCAGAGTTTTCCAGGAGGAGAGCATCACTGGCTTGGTACATGAAGACCACCACCATGAATATAGAGGTGCTTCAGTCACCTGTAACGATGACTGATGAAGTCGAATGCGTGACACATCCCTCAGGGGTTGATCGACGTTGAGGGCTCTATGTCTAATTGTTTTGACTGTGAGTTGAAAATCTTGTTAAAGAATGTCGTTGTCTTCGCTAGGGGGGGGAGAACTCAAAAAGCTAGGGAATATTCGAATAGGAGTTCAGGTCCTCACATCGTAGGTGATACACTGTTCCTACATAGAAAGTTGGCTATATGAGAACGTGGATTTTGAGATTCACCTCACATCTGAAGATAAATGCATTCAACTGCCTGTAGAATGTCACAAAGAGTTGGTGAAATGGGACGATTTTAGGGATTGACTACGAAATGACCGGTCTCGACCATGAAAGACAGGCACTCGTTGAAATCGCCGTTACTGACAGATAAGGTCTCAATGTACGCTAATTATAATATGTAACAACTCTTATTTACTATTTTCGAAGCTGTTTTACAGTTTTGTAAATGTACGACTGAAAATACTGGACTGGTATGTAAAATTCTACTCCAAGAGCGTTGAATCTCAATTCACCCATATCGAGAGGGAGGCTACCAATACACCTTCGACGACCTGCTTTGCTACCACTGTGAAAATGAAACCCAGTTAACCTCTCAGTTTTGGTGCTGTTGGAATATATTATATATATCTATATATATATATATATATATATATATATAATAAAGCGGGACCGTGTGCTTCCAGAGGACGCAGGTGGATCATTGGGACGAGCTCCTGCTTCTGCAGTGCCGACTTGACAAAACTCTATTTCTACGAGTCAAGTCGGCCAAAAGCCTGCAATCAAGCGGCTGGGAAGTACATGGGAGGCGGTTAGGAGTCGCCTCCAACAAATAAGCTCCTCCCGCTCCTCCGAGAGAGACTGGCAAGCTACTCGTGAGTACCCAGCCCCCACGTTTAGAGCCTGGCAAGCTACACGTTGGGTATCAAAAATGCCAAAAACAGTAACAAATATGGGCCTCATTCCCCTGACCCGAAAGAGCCCCTGGTACGGCAGCGCCAGGTAGGACGAGTACGGAGAGGCTGCTAAAATCTCAGGGCCGAACTAGGCTGCCAAGATCGAAACGGACTAAAATGACGATCTGTACCTACAATGCAAGAACCCTTGCTCAACAATCCGCTGTAGAAGATCTGTTGATTCAAGCAAGAAGAATAAGGTACGACGTCATTGGCCTGGCTGAGACGAGAAGGCGCCATCCTTTTCACGCTGTCTATGACACCGGAGAAGAACTGTTCCTTGGAACATGCGATCGCAGAGGTGTCGGTGGCGTTGGCGTCCTCGTCAAATCGAATTTGACCGTGAACATTGATTCGTTCGAACAACTAACAACCCGCATCGGACGATTACGGTTGAAACGATGTGGTTCTATGCCGGCTTTGACCATCTTCGTTGCTTACGCACCAACATCAAGCTATGACGAAGACGAAGTCGAAGCGTTCTATATGGACCTCGAAAAATTCTTCAGAGAAGATCATACATTCTTCAAGGTCATTGTCGGAGATTTTAACGCAAAAATTGGACCTAGAAGAACGTCTGAAGAACGTCACATAGGGACCCACGGACTAGAATGGAATGAACAGGGTGAGAGGCTATCCGAGTTTATCATGACGACCCAAACCATCCATGGTAACTCGCAATTCCAAAAGCCTCTCTCTCAGCGATGGACGTGGGAGTCTCCCAATGGAGAGTACCATAACGAAATAGATCACATCATAGTAAATCGAAGGTTTTGCCTGACCGACGTCGCTGTTGTTCCCAAGTTCTACACGGGATCAGACCATCGCCTCCTTCGCGCAACGTTCCGATTTTCGAGGAGAGGAGAGAAAGCCGCTAAATTCAAACAACGAAGTCCCAGAACTACATAAACTGGGATGTATTCAAATCATTAGTCGGCTCTTGGGAAGATACCGTTGTCGACAACATCGACGAAGAATACGATCGACTCGTTGAATATCTTCACGTTGGCGCTAAAAAAGCCGAAAGTCCTAAGGTCACGAAGAGACGCTTGTCTCCGCAGACACTCGAGCTGATACGTCAACGTGGAATCGCACGAGCCGCAGGCAACCGAAACCTTACGTCCGAACTTGCGAAACGATGCAGAGAAGCGATAAAAGAAGACCTTAAAGAGAGAAGAGCAGCAGTTATGGCAGAAGCTGCAGAAGCTGGGAAGAGCATTCGCAAAGCCCAGCGAGGCTTCGCCAACTATAAGACCAAGATGATTGCACTCCGATACCCTGACGGGACACTTACAGCTTCCAGAAGGGCTATGGAGAAAATCATCCACCAGTACTACTCGGATCTCTTCGCTAGCCATGTTCTCTTACCGTCATATAAATTGAAAGAGGACGAATATGTCGTTCCACCGGTCCTTCCTTCCGAAATCCGACATGCTATATCGTCGGTGAAAAACAGAACAACACCCGGTCCAGACAGGATTAGACCAGAACACCTGAAGAACCTGCCGCCAGTTCTCATCAACACCCTGGCTCGGCTCTTCACTCGCTACCTGTCAGAATGCAAGGTCCCTATTCAATGGAAAACCAGCAAGACCGTATTGTTGTTCAAAAAGGGAGACCTTCACGACATAGGCAATTATCGCCCAATCTGCTTGCTGTCCGTTGTCTATAAACTCTTTACTCGAGTCATCCTGAACAGGATTGACAGAACACTGGACGAAGGACAGCCATGCGAACAAGCAGGGTTCAGAAAAGGATTTAGTACCATGGACCACATCCACACGATCACAAGACTCATTGAAGTTTCGCGAGAGTACAAACAACCACTCTGTCTCACTTTTATCGATCTGAAAAAAGCCTTTGATTCAGTGGAAACAGAAGCGGTTATAGAGGCTCTGGATAACCAGGGCGTCCCTACTCGGTACATAATGATCCTTCGTGAGCTTTATAAAGATTTCACGACCAGAATATCTCCATTCTACAACAATATCACCATTGACGTAAGAAGAGGGGTTCGACAAGGCGATACAATATCGCCAAAACTATTCACTGCCACCCTACAAAACGTCATGCGAACATTAGAATGGGACGAAATGGGAGTGAAAATTGACGGTCGACAATTAAACCATCTTCGCTTTGCTGACGATATCGTTCTCATAACACCAAACATCAGCCAAGCGGAACGAATGTTGACTGATTTCGATAACGCCTGTGGAAAGATCGGTCTTCAACTGAATCTAACGAAAACAATGTTCATGAGGAACGGATGGGTTTCTAATGCCCCATTCACGCTCAACGGAACGACAATTTCCGAATGCTCCAGTTACATCTATCTAGGTCGTGAAATCAACATGATGAACGACCTAGCCCCAGAGTTGAGCAGGAGGAAACGAGCGGCTTGGGGAACGTTTAAGAGCATCGAAGATGTAGTGAAGAGGACAAAGAACATCCGACTCCGTGCCCACCTTTTCGACTCGACAATTATCCCTGCCCTAACGTATGCAGCAGAAACCTGGTCGCTACGTAAGCAGGATGAAAGATCACTTGCCGTTATCGAACGCGCAGTCGAAAGGTCGATGCTAGGAGTATCTCGTATTTCGCAAATGAGACAAAGGATCCGAACTTCCGACCTACGTCAAACGATCGAAAATCAGAGACGCCGTTCTACACGCCAGGATATCGAAAATAAGGTGGGCCGGACACGTGATGCGCTTCAACGACAACCGATGGACGAGAGCCGTTACCGACTGGATTCCTCGGGACGTCAAGCGCTCTAAAGGAAGACCACTGACCCGTTGGTCCGATTTCTTCACGAAAGCGATGGAAGAAAGATATGATGCTCAGCGAATTCCTAGAGCAAGGAGGACCCACTGGGCTACTCT